ATCAGTTGTATGGGAGCTATATGTTATAGTGGTCCGATTCTTCCGGTTCCGACAAATGATTAATACATTATAAAAATACACCCACCTGCCAAATTTGATACGGATATCTCGAAAACTGAGAGACTAGATTGCATACAAACAGACAGACAGACGTTCCATACCTCTGATTGTTTAGATGCGATTTTTTATATAAGTATGTAACTCCTCTATCGATGTATGCAGATGTATTCAAAAGCAGTAATCTGTCAAAGTAAAATTTGCAGATGTTCATGAAAGGTATGAAGCCTTCGGCATAGCCGAAGACAGCGCTGCTCTTACTTGTTTTTAAATAATTTTCTTATTCTGAGGCTAAGATCCCGTTCAAAAGACAATAGCTTAAAGCGCGTTTTTATTAAAAGTATATTTTTAAACGCGTGCGTTGCAAAAATATTTATGTGTTGTTATTTGTTTCACAATTTTTTTCATATTCTGCTTTATACACGTAAGTATACAGAGATTGAATAAAAATGTATTTACATATATACGTATGTAAATATATCTAGTTATTATATGAGGCCTTGAGCGCCAGAGTAGCTTAAGTAACATTTAAAAAAAAGTTGAGGTGCACCTTAAAATGAATTACCAGAATCGAAACAGTAACAGCCCGAGACACGCCCTTTTGGTTTTCATTTACTATAATATATAGCATCACGTAGGTGCAATGAATTCTTTAGTAAAAGACAGCATTTATTTTTTATAGATCCTTATTTCTCATATTACTAAAAATTTTTTTATAAATAGGCTCCTCCGGCCTTCATGGCCTCATATGTAAAATGAATTTGCATATTTTCCTTTTAATAGAACCATTTATTGTACCCATGTTTTATTTATGACAAATAAACGAGGTTTGTTTTAACAGTTTATTATATAATAAAACGTTGTTTTTTACTAGGCAACTTTTAGGTAACTTTTTTTGTAAATTCTGGTCAGAAAATTTTTTGTCGTGTGGCAACCGTGTACAAGATTGCGCCGATTGCAGCAGAATTCGTGAGAGTAATTTTGGCGTGATGTCACCGTAGAGTTTACAACTGAAAGCGGCAAATAGAACTGTTGTCTAGTGATGTGCTGAATTGTCGGTACCCAATACTTAAAAAAGGTTTCGGTACCCAATACTGATTCTTTACATTAAACCTTCGCCATTATATGCATTTCAAGTTTAGAAAAAACTTTCATTGTTAACTTATATGATATCGGCTAAAACACTTGAACTTATCGCAACAGAGAAATGTTATTTTATCAGTTTTACCCCTAGTCGATCCAAGGTACAAGAAAAATACTTTGACGGATGAAGAAGCCTTTCAGGGTGAGGGGAGTGATTGGGGATTCTGTAACCAGTTAGCGACAAGTTTCGGATCGATATCGCACATGTCGACGTAAAAATATTTCATATCATACGTTAACAAAACCGATACCGATTCGAAAATTGTCGCTAACTGTTTACAGAATCTGTCGCTAACTGGTTACAGAATCTGCCTACAAAAATGATATCGTCCTATTCTGCTGGAACAAAAATGCTTCAAACAAGTAAGAGTTTCTCTGTATTATGGCCTCGAACCGACATATATACATCTTTCATTTGAATCCGTATTAAAAGATCTATTTGTTCCTACATTGGGGTTTTGATAGGCGAGTCTCCCCTGAACCGTTTTTTCCATATTTTTGGCCTATGTGCGCTTTTATTCGAAACCTAAATGTTTCGGTACCGAGTATCGAGAGTATTGGATACTTAAAAGTATAGACTCAGCACATCACTTCTGCTGTCATCTCGACTGCGACGTCAGCAAAACAGCTGATTCTTTCAAATTCACTGAGAGCCGATTAGCAGTATTGCCATCGGCCCACCTTCTGTATTCTCTCCACCGTGATTGCAAATATTATAAATAAGATATTTTTTATGACAAAGATATGTGTACTTCTGAGGCAATAAAAATGGAAACCTTAGTAGGCAAATACATTAGGATTACATTAGATTTTGAATGGGGGAAAATAAAAGGCATTTGACCATTTGTAATAGTAATATTATGATGTCTTAGGTCTAAGCCAATTGTTATTGCCACGAAAGATTAATTTAAAACCTATCTTTAGCGTAGCCCGCGCAATTGAATCAAAATGTATGAATTTTGAAAATGAAACTTTGGCTTGTAATATCTATGGAATGCGTTAATTGTTATAAACAAGACGATATATCAAATTAAGGGTTATTAAATGTAGTACCTCACGTTCATTTATGATTTTTCAATAAATCTACATGTTTTTAAGAAATTAAGATAAAACTTACAAAAACTATACAGGCATGTTCTGAAATTCGTACGATTTGAATTCGGAACCGAAATGACAATTCGAACGATTTTATTTTAGGTGTTCTGTAATTCGTTCGATTTCTTTGAAATTCGAATGTAACTTCGAAACAGCTGACGGCTTTATGTCAACTGAACACACCCCATGACAAAAGAGGTGGTTGTTAGAAAAATTTAATTTAAACGAATTTTCTTTAAAAATAAAATGTTTTTTATGGCAGCTTACGTATTGAATGAAAGGGAGCAACGTTATCAAATGAGGGTTAATCGACGACGGTTAAGAGATGAATCTAACCCCCTAAGTACGCCAGATTCAATGTAAGTTTTGAACAAACGTTCGAGGAGCTTGCCTGTTAAAGTTTAACTGCTTTTAGATTTAGTGCGAACTATCGTTTGAGTAAGAGTGCTTTTTTAGAAGTATTGAACGAGATAACTCCATTTGTCAAGGAAACATCTATAGCGTTACTTATCAAGCTAGCAGCATGCCTTCGATTCCTCGCAGAAGGCTCATTCCAACGTTCTGTCGGCAAGGATACTGACATTGCTTTGGGTAGAAACACAGTATCTAAAATATTGTCAGAAATTATCAATGCTTTGGAAACTGTGCTGTGTCCTAAGTGGATTAAGTTGGACAGATCGGCGGAGGATTTGAGGAAATGCAAACTACATTTTGTGGAAAAATTTGGAATCCCAGGTGTAATTGGCTGTATTGATGGAACTCACGTAGCTTTAGTAAAACCTTTGGAGAATGAGCATCTTTTTTATAACAGAAAAGGTTACTTTAGCATAAATGCAATAATTGTAAGTATGAAATTGAACAGCATAAGCACGTTTTTAAGTTAAAATTTTTTGGAATTTACAGATTTGTGATTCCGATATGGTTATACAAGCAGAAGATGCAAGCCGACCTGGATCAAGCCATGATGCTTTTGTTTTTAATATGAGTAATGCAAAGCAACATTATTTTTCAAAATATGAAGCTGGTGACCGCGGATCCTGGTTACTTGGTGATTCCGGATTCGGAATAGAAGCCTTTTTATTGACACCGTATAGAGATCCTAATCCGCGATCACCACAACATAGGTTTAATCTCCAACATGCCAAAGCTCGTAGTATCATAGAGAGAGTAATAGGAGTTCTTAAAAGCAGGATCAGATGTCTAAAAACCGCATTACCATATGCCCCACAAAAAGTAGTTAAGATTATAAATATTTGCTGTGCATTACATAACATTTGTAGGCATTATCAAATAGAAGACTTTTTAGAAACAGAAAGCACAACCCAACCTGAAGAAATTTTTGAAGAAAATACTGAACTCGAAGAAAATACAAATTTGAATAATGTTGGCCGAAATTTAAGAGACTCAATTGCCAATAATTTAATATTATAGAACAGAACGTAAACTTTATTCACTTATAAAAAAATAAATTAACAAAAACCCAGTGTAAATATCTATATATTAAATCACCTCATTGATGATTCTAACTCGAGCATCCTCATTTTACTTTGACTTTTTCTTGTACCAACTGTTCCATCTTGATATGATGTTTCTTTTTTTCTTCTATGTCACGTCGCATTAAACTATTCTGTTCCGCTAGAAGTTGGTTTTGGGTTTCCACCGCTTTACAAAGGCGTTCAAAATCATAATTGTTTTCATTGTTTTTTTGGTTCTCGCATATTTCTCCCAGCGTTATTGCAATTGTTTTCATTGTTTCATTTTATGTTGTCATACACGAACGGAGACAATCTTCATTATCCACGGTTCTTGCTCTTTTCCGTGGCTGCGCACTGACGGCATCGTGGCTTGTCTGCGGACGTTCATCTTCATCGGACTCACCAACGATCACACTTTCAGCTTCATCTTGTGTCCCGAATGTCCTAGCTTGTGCTATGCCCTCCACTGCCGCAAATATGCCACAAATTCGAGCCACACTCTCCTAATTTTGGGTTAATATATATTTATTAAAAGGCCCTCCTCCTGTTGCCCTCGAGTCCATATTATTATGTGTTACCTTTTTCTTAATGTTCGCTTTCCAGTCCAGACCATATCTGCAAAACAATAAAGCTATTTAAATTACATGAACTGGGAAATTAAAACTTTACTTTTTTCCAACCATTTAAATCTTTCTGTGGTGGACCTTCTNACATGGCTAGCTCTTTCCACTTCTCTTCGGCATTCACTCGATCGCCTTTTACAAAATTTTTGGCCAAATCTTGATGACTTTCCATGAACTGAACAAAAGTTAGTTCTTGTTTGGAGTTCTTGTGTTTCCCCCTGAATATTTTTGATATTTAACATTTATTTACAAATAAGATGATATATTTCAAGATAATACTTACATTGTTATGCGTATTATTGATACAAAATATTTTAAAATTTCAAACCGCTCGTTGCCGAATACAAAACAGTAAAATTTTACCGATTTCTTTTCCAGAACAGGGTGACAAATCGATTTGGCAATGTTCGAAAAAAACAAAAACGGAACGATTTACAGAACGTGTCATACGATTTAAAAACGGAAAATCATAAAATGTTGATCGAAAACGGTTTACAGAACATGCCTGTATAACAAGAGATTAGCCATATAAAATTCGTCCCTTATTAATCTGTAATTATAAAATAATCTCAGATTTAACCGATAACTTTTCGGTGTCCATCCTAGTTTTATCGATTGTTTTTGCGAAAAAGAGGAGAAATGCCAAATGTAAAAGTAAACAAAAATGTACGCCAGCAAGTAAAAGAGGTTTGTGAAGGTATTTTTAATAAAATGTTATGTTAAAATATATTTATATTGCTTATTATAGCAGAAAAACGTGATCACGGTGGCACAGAGAAGAAACATAACTTTTGCTTGAGATGTGAGCACAACAAATTTGACGGCTAATAATCTGAGATTTGCCTGTGTAAACGGGGTGATTAAAAAACGAGCATTGATTGAGATAATATTGATATGTGAACATAGTTTTAGTGAAGGTGATCAAAAAGGCTCGATCATACTCAAAGCTGCTCTCTGCCCAGGACTGTATGGGCGAATAAAGTTAATAGGAAAGTTAAAAATGCTTTAGCTTTTATGGTTTCAGTAGATTTAAAAATGCATTCCCACAATTGCAAAGGTAGAGCTTTTGTATATTTCACACCGTCATTCGAGAGGGGAGTACATCGGTTTTATGCAAGAAATTAATTCCAATTTTGAATATAAAAAATATAACAAGAATTACGAGTTTTAGAATAGCTAAGTAAAGTGCTAATTTATCGTAGTGGCAAGTTCTAAATGCAATGTAAAATGTTTAAGAGAATACATAATATGATTTTGTTAATTTCTTCCTTTTTACCACTTTTGCCCATGCCGACAAGTAAATATATTATCACAGTAAAGGAAGAGAAAAAATAATAAGAATAAAAATTCATCTGATCAAAAGATGATTGTACCTAAAATCTAGTGATTGTACCTAATGTACCTTGAGGTTAGCAAACGTCGGAAAAAGGTACAATTATACCTGCTTTTTCATCCCTGATTCGTACTGTCATCAGGTTACTTTAAAGGCCTGTATGCAGCTCTCAAGAAAAGCATAAACTACATATAAAATTACGTACAAGAAATGGCTAAAAAATTTTCTTGAGTCAAATTTCCTTAAGGCAGTACGCAGTTCTTAAGGAATTTGCTACGCTTTCTACTACGGTTTTCTAAAGTTTTTTGTGAAAAAAGAGCACAAGGCAATCCAGGTTTGCAACAGATATATATGCCCGTTCCATTATTTCTTGAGGAAAGAGTGAGGCAACAGGCTGTGAAGTATCAAAAATGTCAAAATTCCTTGGAATAAAACACACGAAATAATAGCAATTTTTTCTTGTCCGTTTTCTTGAGAGCTGCGTACAGGGCTTAAGAATGGAAATTTAAAGCAATTCCCATTCGTACTGTCATCAGGTATGCAACTTGAGAATGGAAATCGCTGCATCTTTTAGGCGCATTAATATTATATAGTTACATCCCGAGCTAATAAAAGCGAGGTAAAAAAGGTAGAAGTTGGTAGATTTTTTAAAAGAAACAATATCAGATGGTTTTTACTCATTAAGATAAAGCATTGCGAATTCATAAAAGATTGTGTTACCAGAGCAGATGGATTTTCGACTCGGTCGTTCTTAATGTTAAAGTGATTCTGTGATTTTACGGACATTGTGCGTAAATTTTTTTAGTGTATTTTTGGGTTTTGCAGGGATGATTCCCTACATGTTGGGATTTTTGGCTGTACAAACGCGTGCGTAGAGAAAAAGGGCAGATTTTTTATATAGCTTAAAATGTAAGGAATTTTTGAAATGTGAATAAATATATGCACGATTCGGTCGTTTTTGCAAGGCGAATGTGTTGACTGCTTCTCGTACAAATGTTCAGTTTTTAAATTCATGGTGGTTGATAGTGTATATTAATAATAATAATAATAATAATAGATTGACGCTTACACATATGTTAGTTTTTGGCCGAGCTTTTCCTCCGATTTGTGGTGTGCGCCTTGATGTTGTCCCACAAAGGAAAAGACCTACAGTTTTACGCCGACTCTGAATGGCCATTGCATTTTTATTAGAAGCTGTTTTTCGTGGCAGAAATAAAGTCGGAGGTTTGCCATTGCCTGCCGAGGGGCGACCGCTAATAGAAAAAACTTTTTTGTAGGGAATTTTTCGTTTGGGCGTAAGGAAAAACAGGGATTTTTAAGGTTATGGTAGGGATTTTCGAAAAAAAAACATGTGGCATCACTGCTCCAGCTATCCCTTAATATGAATTCGCCTTGGGACAAATTGTATTTTTATATAAAACAACAAAAATGTATTTCGCGTAAATAAAATATTCAACCAAAACCCTATACATAAAACTGGGCCCGAATCACGGCATCCGTTAACGAATGAAACTCGATTCGAATCGAATGAAATAAAATTACAACTTATTTTGACAGGGCCAAACAACTGTTTTTTTTTTTTATTTATTCAATTTGAATCGAAAAAGCTCACTCCTATCGAATGCCCAAAAGAAATTTCATATAAAATTTAATTCAATCACGGATGCCCTGATTCGGGCCCTGTATTAATGTAATATGAGGGAAGCTCAAACAATTACATACTTCTTCTTCTTCTTTATTGGCGCTGTAACCGCCTAAGCGATTTTGGCCGAGTCCAAAACAGCACGCCAGTCATTTCTCTTCTGTGCTAACTGACGCCAATTGCAAATGCCAAGTGAAGCCAAGTCCTTCTTCACCTGATCTCTCCAACGCAGAGGACGCCTTCCTCTCACTCTGTTACCAGCATCGCGGCCCGCGTTCAATACTTTCGGAGCAGGAGAGTTTCTGTCCATTCGAACAACACGCTCTAAGTCTATATCGTTGTAAAGCTCATACTGCTCATATAGCTCATACTGCTGCTATAGAGTGTGATCTTTGTACGACGAGAAAGGACTTTACTTCTCAATTGCCTACTCAGTCCAAAGTAGCAAACAAAAACTAATTTATCAAAAGCTATGATCTATAAGCTGTTGAAATTGAACGAAAAGTTGCCTATCGTCTTGAAAGAAGAATTCACGACGGCGGCAACATTATTGGTATTTTAATATAAATGTGAAAATTTAGCTGTTTTCTGTTAAAATATTTGTTATTATGTATTTGGGTGTGAAAGAGCATATATTTTTTAAATATTTTAAGTGATTAAATCGGGAAAAAAAAGTCATCTTACAAATGCTTTTATCAAGATAAAAAATGCCCACGCACAAATATTTCCTCTGATAAAATAAAAAGGCAATAAAAATGATGGTTGGTAGGCAAAAAGTTTTGCCTCTGGAGACACGCCGTAACAGAATCACTTTTAACCCTTTCGCTATTTTGATGTCATATGGCGTCATGCTTTTTTGAATACTCACAGATTTAATTGAGCTTATCTGAAATTATATTTTTATATGCAACGCTGTAATGGGAAGTTTTATAAACTATATTTTAATGAGGTATTGTTATTTTTATCCTTAGTAGATGAAAAATTTCAATTTTTAAACTTTACTATAATATCGATTTTCTTCTGCTTAGAAAGGTCTACATTAAAATACTATATTTTACCAAATAACCCAATAAATTAAAAACAAATAAATATGCTATAGTCTCCAAAATAGTGTCAAATATTGCTTGAACTTGTAATTTAATTTAAAAAAGTGCTAATAAATGCGTAGTATATTTTTAAATGTGTATGATGCCATATGGCATCAATAATATTTGAAGGAGCTGAAATCCGCACCAGCAAATAACGATATATTTGTACTGGGAAATTGCAACTGGTAAATTTTTTAAATGAATTATTAAATCTATGCATCATCCAACTTATTTTATAAAATTTTTGTGGTATTATTTAATTTGATTTGA